CTATACATCTATCTATCTATCTATCTATCTATCTATCTATCTATCTCCTGTCTACCTACCTACCTATACATCTATTTCTCTCCTGCCTACCTACCCAATTATCTATACATCTATCTCTACATCCATCTATCTATCTCCTGTCTACCTACCTACCTATACATCTATTTCTCTCCTGCCTACCTACCTAATTATCTATACATCTATCTATACATCCATCTATCTATCTCCTGTCTACCTACCTACCTATACATCTATTTCTCTCCTGCCTACCTACCCAATTATCTGTACATGTATCTATACATCTATCTATCTATCTATCTATCTATCTATCTATCTATCTCCTGTCTACCTACCTACCTATACATCTATTTCTCTCCTGCCTACCTACCTAATTATCTGTACATGTTATCTCCTGTCTACCTACCTACCTATACATCTATTTCTCTCCTGCCTACCTACCCAATTATCTGTACATGTATCTATACATCTATCTATCTATCTCCTATCTACCTACCTATTCATCTATTTCTCTCTCTCCTGTCTACCTACCTAATTACCTATACATCTATTTCTCTCTGTTATCTGTCTACCAACTGACCAATCTATCTGTGTGTCTATCTACCTATCATTCACCTATCATCTGTCTATCCATCTATCAATTATCTATGAATTTATCTACCTACGTACCTATACATCTATCTCTCTATATATACATCTATCTCTCTACCTACCTACCTACTTACCTATACATCTGTCTCTATCTATATATCTATCTAGCTATCTACCTACCTACCTACCTATACATCTATCTATACCTCTATCTATATCCTGTCTACCTACTTACCTATACATTTCTCTCTCTGTCTCCTGTCTACCTACCTAATTACTATACATCTCTCTCTCTCATCTACCAACTGACCAATCTATCTGTGTGTCTGTCTACCTATCATTTACCTATCATCTATCTATCCATCTATCAATTATCTACCAATTTATCTACCTACCTACCTACCTACCTATATGTCTATCTCTATCTATACATCTGTCTATCTACCTATTTATCTATCCATCTATCTGTCTATCTCTGTCTGTCTAGGCATAAGGTCAGGGCTGTTGAGATCAATTAATCAGCCTACCTACCTTCCTACCTACTTGTCATCTATATCTGTCTATCCTTGTTCTATCTACAATCTATATTTCTCTCTATAATGATAATATATGGATATAGAGAGTTCCAAAAACTGTAAATATCATACTATATATACATATTATTTTGTGACCTCTCCCTCCACCACATGTCTTGGTTATTTTTTCATGTCAATACCTACAGTTCTACCTGACTTGATAGATTTTAAATACATAGATGTACCATATTCTACTCATCCATTATATAATTAATAGACACTTAGCTTTTCAGAGTATTCATTCTACAAACAATGGAACATGTCCGTCTACCCTTACATACTTTGTATATTTCTGGAGGATAGATTTATAAAAATGAAATGCATCTGTAACAAGTATGGTCTTTTACAATTTGAGTAGGTCCTGTTGGTCCACAGCCAGTGGTGGTGGATGAGACGCCTGTTTGCCAACAGCCTCCCCGACATTCAATATTGGCCATTTTTTAGATTTTTGCCAATTCCATAGAAGAAAAGTAGATGCACTTCCTTACTCTAATTTATGTAAATGTTAGCGTAGTTGAATCTCTTTTTTTCCCTTCAGTTTTTTCTTTTCTTTTCTTTTCTTTTGAGACAGAGCCTCACTCTATCTCCCAGGCTGGAGTACAGTGGCACGATCTCGGCTCACTGCAGCCTCCACCTCTTGGGCTCAAGTGATTCTCCTGCCTCAGCCTCCTGGGTAGCTGGGATTACAGGCATGCGCCACCACACCCAGCTAATTTTTTTGTATTTTTAATAGAGACGGGGTTTCACCATGTTGACCAGGCTGGTCTCGAGCTCCCGATCTCAAGTGATCCACCTATCTCAGCCTCCCAAAGTGCTGGGATTACAGGCATGAGCCACTGCGCCTGGCCTCCTTCAGTTTTTAAATTGTGGCAACATACACATGACCTGCAATTTACATCTTAACAATTTTGAAATGTACAGTTTAGGGTGTTAAATGCATTCATAGTGTGGTGAACCCAGGAGCCTCTTATGCTTCTTGGTTGTTTATATTTCTTCTGGGCTGGTGGTAACTCTGATCATTTCTGTATCCTTTGTCTCTTGGCAGAATTTGCACAAACCTCCTTGGCTGTCACTGAAAGCTGGCTCCAGTAAGGAATACTCTGTAACCTAACGAGTCTCCTGTGGGCCACATCTCAACCCCTTGGCTCCACAGAAAGCAAATATATCAGGTGTTTCGTGCAGAGAACAATTACGTTTTATATTTTCTTCCCATTTATGTGGCCATAAAGATGAGATACCTGTCCTGTCTGCAGAGGAAGAAGAGGAAGAAGAGATTTATTCTCAAAAAGTGGAGTCCATGGATAAAGGACGAGGTGTGCAGTTGGGAGGGGTCATGGGAGGGTGGAACTGAAAAAGCCGCTCCCCTCTCGGCAGCGGCAGTAGGGTGCTGCCTGCCACGCCAGAATCAGCTTTTACTTTCGCTGGGTACGAAGCACAAAGAGGAAGTGCTGGGTCATGAATAAACACATGTAGTAGTTTCCCATGGCTGCTGTCACAAGTGACCACAGACTGGGTGGCTGAAAAAAAAACAGATATATTCTCACAGCTCTGGAGGCTGGAACTCCAAAATCAAGGTGCTGGCAGGGCTGCGCTCCCTCTGCGGGACCAAGAGGAGGATCCTTCCTGGCCTCCTCACAGCAGTCTGGAGGTCAGGGTGTCCTCGGCCTGCAGCATCATCACTCCGGTCTCTGCATCCATCATCACATGGCCTTGTCCCCTCTGTGTCTTTCTTCTCCGTGTGTCCTCTCTCCTTCTTCTTCTTCTTTTTTTTGAGACAGAGTCTCGCTCTTGTCACCCAAGCTGGAGTGCGATGGCGCGATCTCAGCTCACTGCAACCTCCGCCTCCGGGGTTCAAGTGATTCTCCTGCCTCAGCCTCCCAAGTAGCTGGGACTACAGGTGCCCACCACCACACCCAGCTAATTTTTGTGTTTTTAGTAAAGATGGGGTTTCACCATCTTGGCCAGGCTGGCCTTGAACTCTGGACCTCAGGTGATCCACCCTCCTCAGCCTCCCAAAGTGCTGGGATTACAGGCATGAGCCACTGTGCCCAGCTGTCCTCTCTCCTTATACAGGCACCAGTCACCTTGGATTTTGGGCCCACTCTAATCCATATCACCTCGTCTTTACTAATTACATCTGCAAAGACCCTGTTTCCAAATGAGGTCACATCTTGAGGACATGCATTGTGGGGGACGCTCTTCAACCGAGTGTAGTATGTAACATACAAACACTCGTACCGGCAGCATCTCAGCCAGCTCGGCAAACACATGCTTTGTACTTTGTTTTGTAGAGTAGGCTTCCCGCTACGCAAACTGCAGATGCCATTTTCTTAGGAGACTCTTCAAGGCACGGTACTTTTCATTTATTTATTTATTTTTGAGACAGGACCTCACTCTGTTGCCCAGGCTGGAGTGATAACAGTCATAGCTCACTTCAGCCTCTAACTTCTAGGCTCAAGCAATCCTGACTCAGGCTCCTGAGGAGCTGGGACTATAGAGGTACACCAACAAGCCTGATGACATTTTGATTTTTTGTAGAGATGGGGTCTTGCTGTGTTGCCAGGCTGGTCTCGAACTCCTGGGCTCAAGCAATCCTCCCACCTCAACCTTCCAAAGTGTTGGGATTACAGGCATAAGCGCCTGCTCTCGGCCAAGAATTTATTTTTAACCAAATTGTAATCCCCTCAAGTAGCAAAGATTGTGGAGAGGGAACTACAAGTTAGAAATAAAAGATAGTCTGAATAAGGCTTGTTTAAAGTGGGTTTTTGGTTTTTTTTGTAGACGAAGTCTTGCTCTGTCACCTAGGCTGGAGTGCAGTGGTGCGATCTCCGCTCACTGCAACCTCTGCCTGCTGGATTCGAGCAATTCTCCTGCCTCAGCCTCCTGAGTAGCTGGGACTACAGGCACCCGTCACCACGCCCGGCTAATTTTTGTATTTTTAGTAGAGATGGGGTTTCATCATGTTGGCCAGGCTGGTCTCAAACTCCTGACCTCAGGTGATCTACCCGCCTTGGCCTCCCAAAGTGCTGGGATTACAGGCGTGAGCCACCGCGCCCGGCTTAAAGTGGGTTTTGATAAGGCAGATGGCAGTTCTGGATTCCACAGCGGTGTCTGCTGAGGCCTCCTAGGAACGCACTCTCGGCTTCTGAGCCCAGTACATCCAGGAAGAGGACAGGCTTGGGTGGGAAGAGGCTGTTTAGGTGGGAAGGTCGGGGAAGCCCTTTCCCACAAAGTAAATTAACATTATTATATGTTTTCTTCTTTTCTTTTTATGGTGGTAAAATGGATGTAACATAAAACTTACCTTTTTTTTTTTTTTTTTTTTGATGGGGCCTTGCTCTGTTGCCCAGGCTGGAGTGGCCGGGTGCTGTGTGTGGATCATAGCAACCTGTTCAGCCTGACTCTGCCCTCAGCGATCTCCCTGCATCAGCTCCTGTCAAGTGCTGGGACTACAGATGTGTGCCACCACGCCCAAGCACAAGTGGTTTCCTTAACTTTATTTTTGGCCGTTATGTGGCTCACGCCATAATCCAGACTTAGGGAGGCCAAGGGCAAAGGATCACTGGGCAGATTCGAGTGTAGCCCCGTCCACATGATGAAAACCCCCTCCACTAAAAACCACAAAAAGTAGCCAGGCATGGTGGCGCATACCTATACTCAGCCTACTTGAGCTGAGGCATGGAGAATCTTGAACTTGGGAGACCGGAGGTTGCAGTGAGCCCAAGATCACGCCACTGCACTCCAGCCCTGGTGCATAGTGGAGATCCTTCTCAAAATTCTTTTTTGTAGAGACAAGGTTTACTACATCGCCCCAGGCCTGGTTTCAAACTCCCGGCCCTCAAATGATCTTCCCGCCTGTAGATGGACACAGCCATGCACCCACCATGCTGGATAACATTTGATTTTGTAAGAGATAGGCGACCACTCCTAATGCTGTAGAGAATTAGCAATGAATTACCAGGCTGTTTTATGGCCATGGGCACTGCTCTATGTGATTTTTTTTTACTGTCACTATCTAGTCTCTAATAATGTTTGCTACTGCTGTCTATAAGACTATTCCCTACCAACCGCGGGGCGCCCAATACGCGATCTGTCTGTCAGTCTTCCAGAATCTTGTGTGGTAGATGGTACTGTGCCATTTATGGAATGAGAAAAAACTAACGCCCGAGAGGATGCAGCCGCCATCCGTGATGCCAAAGCGCAGTGACTTTCACCAGTGCTTTCTTTTTTTTTTTTGGAGACGGATCTCGCCTGTCGCCCAGGGCCTGGAGTGGCAGTGGCCGGGATTCAGCGCCTGCAGCTCCGCTCCCCGGGTTTACACCATGCTCCCGCCTCAGCCTCCGAGTAGCTGGCTACAAGCCCCCGCCACCTCCCGCTAGTTTTTTTTGTATTTTTTAAGTAGAAGACGGTTTCACCGTGTTAGACAGGATGGCTCGATTCTTCCTGACCTAGTCTCACGCCCATCTCGCCCTCCCAAAGTGCTGGGATTCAGCTGACCACCGCGCCCGCAGCCCCGTGCCCGTTCAAGGAGAGTGAGGGCAAGCTCCCAGGAAAGCTTCCCTTCCTCTAATCATCGGGCCCCTGTGTTGCATGCTTCTGAGCTGAGACTTGGTGGTCTGCCTGAGGTTTTCTGAATCTGCCATCAAATCAGAGTGGACTGAGACAGAGCAGTCATTTCATTAGACTGTTTTTCCTCTCGTCCTCACAAGTTTGCATCTCATAGTGAGAAAAGGAGTAAAGCTAACGGCCTACGTAATTCCTTCCTTTTTTTGTTTTGAGATGGAGGTCCCTTGCTCGGCCACCAAGCTTGCAGTGGCACAATCTTGCTCCACTTGCAACCCTCCCTACCTCACTGGCCTGAGTGATTTCTCCTCCACCTCCAGCCGCCGAGACGGGATTACAGGCACCGCACCACCACGCCCAGCTAAATTTGTATTTTTAGTAGAGACAGGGTGTTGCCATTGTTGGCCAGGCTGGTCATCGAACTCCTGACATAAGTGATTCCCACCCCTGGCAGCTCCAAAGCGCCTGGGAATTATTAGGTGGTGAGCACTTACCTGGCCTGTAATTCTTATCCTTTATGAATAAATTCCCCTTTTAAGTAAAAAACCTCAGAGAAGTCACAGGGGTCACCAGGGTGGACACTGTACCTGAGCCAAACGGCGACACAAACATGTTAAATTTCTGATGGACACACCTGCAAAACGAACACAATTCCTTCAATTACAATACAGTCAAGGCCACAATCCGGATGATTGGAGCAGAAGGTAATGACAAGCTCTTTGATAACCTTGCCTTTGGAATGAAATGCACTGGTGCCGGAAATGCAGGGCTGCCCTGATGGTAGAAACCTAATTTTCGATGATTCTCTTACACTTTGATTGATGTTTTTGCAGCCTAAGCATGTGTCCACGAGAACCGAATCTCTAGTCAACCTTCTAATCACGTAGGAGATGAAGAAAATGCACAAAGAGATTTCAGAAAAATCTCCCTTCCCAAGTAAGCATGGCTTTTGTCCTGTTGGAGGGGTAATGAGTACCCCTAACCGCCCTCCAAAAATTCAGGGTAACTGACACAGCCCCATCCCAAGGGATTTATCATGTTTGGAATGAAGATTAGGATCCCAGGCCACTCAGGATTCAGTGATTGGCTAGAAGGACTCCACAGGACTCCAGAAAATCTGTTATATTCCAT